GACACTGGGGACACCCTCCAGGAAGCGGAAGTATAGAGCTTCCTCTGTGATGCCAAGCACTTCCAGCCTGTACCTAGTGCTGCTGGGGAACACCTGCTGCAAGATCAGCCTGAAGGAGAAGGGGGAGGCCTTCATCAGGGTAGCTTCTCTGGCTCCCGCTTTGTTCCCAGTCTTAATCAGCTGCACACCAGTCAGGATTCCAGTGGCTCCTCTGGAGATTTTGGTGGTGACGCCCAAAGCCTGAGGAAGGAGATCTTCTTACGACCCAGGCCCATGTTCACAGGGAGGAAAGCTAGCACCTTGTTGGCCAGCGTCCTGTCACTGATCTCAGTGAAGTCCTCCGTGGTGGACAAAGCCTCACATTCCTCTGGCTATGAGGCAGCAGCTCTCCAGAGCTGCGTTGTTTCCAGGTGCCCTTGGATGGCTTGGCACATCATTCTCTTGCCCATCAGCATCACGGCTTCCCCAAGAATGGACATGCAGGATGTGCTGCACCTACTGGGAGCCCACATTGCCTGCTCCCACAGTGACACATTGTGGGGAATCATACAAAGTTGAAGCATTTTAAGGAAGTAGTTGGACCTCCAAGTTTCCCTGTCTTCCTTGGACTTCATGTTAGTGTGTCAGGGATTGCCAGGTGGAGTTTAAAGATGTTGTCACTCTCACAAGGACCATGGGCAAGAGGCTGAACCTTGCTACTGACCATCAGGTAGCAGAGACACGTGGAAGAAATGATGAACTCAGAGCTAAATAAAGACTTCCAAAGGGCAGCTCGAGAAGACAAAGTAAGATATTATAATGAAATATGCAAAGACCTAGAATAAGGAAACCAAGAAGGAAGAACATGCTCAGCATCTGAAACAGAAAGAACTGAAGGAAAAATTAAGCCTCAAGATGCAACGTTGAAAGATTCTATGGAAAAATTATTAAATTTTTCAGGAAGCATCCAAAGAAGAGGGAATGAACACACAGTCACTGTACCAAAAAGAACTAGTCCGTGGAGAGCATGTGTTTTGAGAATGATGAGGGTAATGAATGTACAAATGTGCTTTGTACAGTTGATGTATGTATGGATTATGATAAGAGTTGTATGAGCCCCCAATAAAATGATTTAAATAAATAAATAAAAGCCTAACAACAACAAAAAAGAACTAGTCAACTTTCAACCTTATCAGGAAGCAGCATTTGAGCAAGAACCAATGGTGCTGAAGGGAGAAGTTCAAGCCTCACTGAAAGCACTAGCCAAAAAAAAAGGGCTCTAGGAATTGATGAAATACCAATTGAAATATTTCAACAAGCTGATGAAGCACTTACTTGTCTGTGTCAGGAAATTTGGAAAACAGCTATGTGGCCAACTGATGAAAAGAGCTCCATATTTGTACCTATTCCAAAGAAAAGTGGCCCAACAGATGATAAAATTCTAGAACACTGATATCATATACAAGTAAAATTTTGCTGAAGACTCTCCAGCAACAGATACAGCAGTACATTGACAGGGAGGTGCCAGGGGATCAGGCCGGATTCAGAAGACAACATGGAAGAAAGGATATCATTTCTAATGTCAGATGAATCTTGGCTGAAACGATTTTGGTAGAGAATACCAGAAAGACGTTTACTAGTATTTTATTGACTATGCTAAGGAATTCGATTGTGTGGATCATGACAAACTATGAGTAGCCTTGAAAAGAACAGGAATTCCAGAACACTTCATTGTACTCACGTGGAACTTGTACATGGATCAAGAAGCAGTTGTGCAAACAGGACAAGGGCATACTACATAGTTAAAAGCAGTTGTGCAAATAGGACAAGGGCATACTACATAGTTTAAAATCAGGAAAGGTGTGCATCAGGTGTGTTAGTCTAGGTTACCCAGAGAAACAAATTTATAGACACTCATGTGTTTCATAGAGAACTTTATATCAAAGAGGAATTATATATTAAGAAAACATCCCAGCCCAGTCCAGATCAAGTCCATAAATCCGATATTAGCCTATATGTCTGATATCAAGTCTGTAAATTCTTCTTCAGACTCACGCAACACATGCAATGAAGCCGAGTGCAGGAAGATCACAGGCCAGTGGGTGGGAAGTCTTATGGATCCAGTGGCGATGGATGCATCTTAGCACTGGTGTGGGTCTCCATGTGGCTCCTCTAGCTCCAAGGCTCTGGATGCCGTCAGCATAGCTCCATGTGGCTTGTCAACAGTAATATCAAGCAGAGAGAGAGTATGTCCCACCTCTAGGGAACAAGACAGGAGTTCCCAGAATCCTCAGGAGAAGGTCATGCCCACACAGAGGCCTCATTGGCTGTGACCTGATTGACAGACCAGACTCCACCCCTTTACAAGTTGACAGATTATGTAACTGCCACATCTGGTTGAATCCTCTCACCATACTTATTCAGTCTACAGGCTGAATCTGGATTATAAAAGAATCTGGATTATAAGAAGCAGCAGCAGTATCAGGAGGAAGACTTGTTAACAAACTACAATGTGCAGATACCACTATCTTGCTTGCTGAAAATGAGGAGGACTTGAAGCACTTGCTAATAAAAATGTAAGATTGCAGCCTTCAATCTGGATTACAACTCAATGTCAAGAAGACCAAAATCCTCACAACTGGACCAGTAGGTAACATCATGATAAATGGAAAAGAAATTGAAGTTATGAAGTATTTCATCTTGCTTGGATCCACAATCAATGCTCAGAGAAGCAGCAATCAAGAGATCGAATAACTCATTGCATTGGGTAAATCTGTTGCACAGGATCTCTCTAAGGTTGAAAGCCACAGATTACTTTGAGGACTAAAGTGTGCCTGGCCCACTTTATTTATTTTCAATTGCCTCATATCTTTTTGAAAGTTGAGCATTGACTAAGGAAACCGAAGAAGACTTGGCGCTGGAGAAGACTCCTGAAAGGACTGTGGACTGCTCAAAGGAGGAGCAAACGTGCCTTGGAAGAAGTCAGGCCAGAAAGTCCCTTAGAGGCGAGGATGCTGAGACTTGTCTCACATACTTGGGACACGTCAGGAGAGACCAGTCACTGGGGAAGGACATCATGCTTGGTAAAGTAGAGGGGCAGTGAGAGAGAGGAAGGCTCACCATGACTAGGAATGGACATAGTGGCCGAAACAATGGGCTCAAGGTAGCTCAGGACTGGGCGGTGTTTCATTCTGTTGTGCATAGGGTCGGTGTGGGTGGTGGCCAGCTCAGTAGCCCCTAACACAGCAACAAGTGGATCGTTGGGCAAGTCACCCTCTTTGGCTGGAAGAGGAAGTCGGAAGTGGGGCCACCTCAATGACCCCCTTCTTCTTTCCCTCACACAGCTTTTCGACCGAAAGCTGTGCATCCAGCAGCTACGCTACTCGGGCATGATGGAGACGGTGCAGATCCGCAAATCGGGCTTTCCCATCAGATACACATTTGAAGAGTTCTCACAGAGGTTCAAAGTCCTGCTGCCCAGCCTCGTGCGGATGCAGGTGAGTGCTCAAACCCCACCTACTCCTTCCCCTGAAGCAGTGGCCCAGCTAGCCACCCAGGCTAATCCTTCTCTTCCCTCCCCCCTCCCAGCAACCTCCAATCCCAATGTAAAGGTCTCTGCTACCCTCCTGATGCCCAGGGCTCCGTTTACATCCACCTTCCCAGGACTCCAGGCTTTCCAGTTACCCCGGTTCTTCCTTCCTCTTTCAGCTCATCCAGCCTCACCGCTTCACCCCTCGGGGCTAACACAGTGGGAAGAGCTAGCCACGAGGTCTGACGATGGAGTACAAGCGAGAATGTGCTTTCTAGGCTTGGGATTTTTTTATTTTATTAATAAATCATTTTATTGTGGGCTCTTACATAGCTTATAACAATCCATACATCCATTTTATCAACTGGACATGTACAAGTGTTTGTGTCAACAATTTCTAAACATTATCTTTTTCCTTGAGCCCTTTGACATCAGCTCTTCCCCCCCCCTCCTTCCCCACATCCTGCCATCCCCTTGAACCCTTAATAGATTATGCATTATTATAATTTATACGTATCTTACACCACCTGGTATATCCCTTCACCTACTAGGGTTCGGGGTTTTTAGAGCCAATGCACTCTTCAATGATAGGCTGTCAGGGGATGATGTGAGACAAGGAAGCTATTGGGGGCAGGAAATCCTCATGTTCTTCCTCACTGGGCCATCTGTAAATGTGGTCTAGCCAAGTGCCAACTGTCCCTCATTGAGGACCCAGGCTCTAAGATCTGAGTGCCCATCTTATCCCTTGGGCCAGATCCCCATCCCAGCCCTACTCCTGATCGGGTGCCCACTTGTGCTTGCACCCTGCCAAGCAGTCTCTGACTGGGAAGTTCGTGGAAGGAGGGAAATGTCGGTCCATCTGAGACCCTGGAGAAAGACCCACCCTCCGTTTCCCAGCCTGCCACTGGAGTCTCCACGCAGATTGAGCTGACACATTGTCTCCTTGGCAGCTTCACGACAAGTTCCGCCAGGCGGCCCTGCGTATTGCTGACATGTTTCTGGGCGCAGACAAAGACTGGAAAATGGGAAAGACCAAAATTTTCCTGAAGGTGAGACCCCAAGAAACATGCCTCCCCCCAGCTCCTGGCGAACCCTGATCTTGGCCCAGGCTCTAGCAGGCTCTCCTTACTCCATTGGCCTGAACCAGAGTCCTGAGGCACAGAGAACCATGCCCAGGAACAGCGAGGAGGAAGACGAACTGTGAGTCTTAGGGTAAGAGCAAGGGCGAGCTGAGGAAGGCTTCCCAACCACCTGGACAGCCCCCACTGCCCTTTAAGGGGCATGGAGCTCAGCCTCCCTGGGGCTAGGTCAGGCGGTGCTGCAGGGGAGCTCTGCATTGATTCCCAGGGGAAGTGTCTATCAAGAATCCCCCTGGCTTTCCCCGCCCTCTCAAACCAGGCCCGTGGGAGCAAGTCCTCTAATGGTACCATGTGCACATTACCCATCATGTGCACATTACCCATCATGTGCACATTGCCCATCATGTGCACATTACCCATCATGTGCACATAACCCATCATGCACACATAACCCATCACGTGCACATTACCCATCACGTGCACATTACCCATCACGTGCACATAACCCATCACGTGCACATTACCCGTCACATGCACATTACCCATCACGTGCACATTACCCATCACGTGCACATTACCCATCATGTGCACATAGCAACAACAGAAAGGAAGGGCCACCGCTGCCTCCCTGATGACAGCCCAAGATGCTCAGACTGGCCCTCAGCCCTCCTAGGAACGCCAAGGGATGTCAAAGAGCCACCTTGTCTGGGACAGACACTCCATGGCTCCTTGGCCTCGGGTGTGCGGGGGTGGGGTGGGGGAGCAAGGAGAGGATAAAGAAGAGGGAGAGGAAGTCAGGGCCAGTGTGATCTCAGAACAGTCTGCCAGCTCCACCCCCACCCCACCATCTCAGGCCCTTTCTCCTTCATTAGTGTGGTCAGGCGACAGGGTCAAGAGGAGAAGGGCTTGCCCAGCGTATTGAGAGGTGACAGTCTTTGGGGGAGGGTCATCTGGGTCCCCCAGCCTGGGAGGGCCCACCTCGGTCCCTCCTAGCCCTAGCAGAGCTGTCACCACTATCTGGTCCATGCCTGCATCCCCAGGGCCATCCAGCCCTGCCCGCACACAAGGACACTCCACATCTGCTTGGTGCAGGATAGATGGCGGCAGAAGGGACATGCTTCTCTGTGGGAAACAAAGTCCACAACCCACCCTCCGACGCTTCCTTCTGAAGAGGAGGGGCACTCCCACACCGCTCATCCCAGGGCCCGGCCCCCGAGTACGGCTCATCCTCACACCCATGTAACCGACTCATGGGTTGTTTGTAATGAAACGAGCAAGAGTCTGCCCTCGAGAATGCAAAGTTCATATAAATTGTGTGTGTGTGGAGCGGGGAGGGAAAACAACATAATGCTAGGAAACATTGTACCCAAAACTGCTTCATGCCCTCACTTCCCCAATTCTCCAAAGCAGAAAGAGAGTTTGCCAGACAGAATTAGTAAGAATCAAGAGTTGGAATGGGTAGTTCTTCAAAGGAGGTTGAGTTGGGAGATCCCTTCCGTGAGTCCCCACAGAGTCAACTGGAGGGCCCTTTCCTCCCACCTGACTTCCTGGAGGCAGGTGCCGGGGATGTTTGAGAGGTACCGGCTTCAGGGACAGAGCTACCTCTAGCCAGGGATGGGAGGTGAGGGGGGTGAGGCTGGGCAATGTCTCATGGCTCTCCTTCCCATAGGACCATCAAGACACTCTGCTGGAAGTTCAGAGGAATAAGACCCTAGATACCTCGGCCATCACCATCCAGAGGGTCCTGCGCGGATACAAACACAGGTGCCAGCCCTGCCCTGCCAGCCTTCCCCTCCCACCCCCTCAGTCCTTTGACACAGGACCCCAGTCCAGCAAACCAGGCTACATGCTTACATACTTTCCCACTGGGCCCTCCCTCCCCAAGGTGACTGAAGCACAGGGCCTCCCAGGATCCCTGGCCTGGCCTGCAGCCTGTGGTGGTCAGAGAATTCTACTTCATTGTTTGATTGGGGCAAGGCGGGGGGTGGCACAGGGGGAGGGGGGCACAAAGCCTTACCATGTAGGAAGTGTTGGCTCTAGTCTCAACTACATTGGGATGTTTTGCTTCTATAGACTTAGACAGTGTGCAGGCATGGATTTAGAAGATGACTTGGTTTTTTGAAGGAGCCCTGGTATGATGGTGGTTAAGCACGTGTCCACTAAGGTGAAGGTTGGTGGAGAGAGAGAAAAATTAGACCGTCTGCCTCTGCAAAGATTTATAACCTTGGAAACCATATGGGTACTTCTACTCTGTCCTATAGCTCCCTAGCAAGTAGGAAGGTGATACTTGATTCCTCTCGCTGACATTGCCCTTGATCACACCCTACCAGGCCTCCTACACCCTCCTCCCCACCGATTTTGGACCACTTGTTGTTCCCTTGTCCCTGAGTTTGTTAACACCACTTCCTTTCCCCCACCTCCCCCTCTCCCATGTCCCCTAGGAATTGTTGGTCCCATTGTTTTCTCCTCCAGATTGTTTATCCTGCCTATCTTATCTAGATAGACCTGCAGAGATAATAATATGCACAAAAACAAGACAGAGCAAAACAAAGCGACAAAAGAAAACAAAACAACAAAAAAAGCAATGACCAAAAAAAGAGAAACCTGTAAATAGTCCAAGGTCTATGTGTTGACCTTTAGGAGTATTTTCTGGTTGAGTCTGATGGGGCACCATGCCCTGGCCCCAAAGCCTATTTTTGATATTCCCTCAGGACTTCCTTGCTCTGCTTATAATGCATACATTTAATGATGCATAAGACAGTTCTCACAAAATTTATCTAGTTCCAATTGTCAGTAAGCTGAGGGTAAGAAAGCTTGATTTAAACCCATTGTGTCATTTTCTTGTCTAACTAATTTTACTAGCCAGGAGAGTAAGCACATCATTAAATATTAAGGGTGAGTATTTTTCAAATCATTTTATTAGGGGCTCATACAACTCTTATCACAATCCATACATACATCAGTTGTGTAAAGCACATTTGTACATTCATTGCCCTCATCACTCTCCACTTAAGCCCCTGGCATCAGCTCCTCATTTCCCCCCCTCCCTCCCTGCTCCCCCCTCCCTCATAAACCCTTGATAATTTACAAATTATTATTTTGTCATATCTTACACTGTGCGACGTCTCCCTTCACCCACTTTTCTGTTGTCCATCCCCCAGCAAGGAGGTCACATGCAGATCCTTGTAATCGTTTCCCTAAGGGTGAGCATTTACGGGAAATGCAGTTGATGTCGTTTCCTCTATTTCTCCTCTGAAGTGCAACTAAGAGCCCTGGAAGTCTGCCTTGTCCTGTAGGGTTGCTCTGACGGCGGCAGTGAGTTTGTGCTGTTGATGTTCTGTGTTGCCCAGCCCGTTCGGACGCAGAGAGCCTGGAGAAGGCAGAGTCAATGAGAACGAACGACCCAGCCCTGCCCCACGCTCGGACGTTGCTCTGAGCGGCAGCCCCAATCTTGTCGTCTCCCGGAGGCTTTCTCTAATGTTCACTCCCCTCCACCGGACCAAGCACGATGCCCTTTGTCAGGGGTTGGTCCCTCCCGGTCGCATGCCTAAAGCACCTGAGAGGGTCTCCCCAGCCTCTCGTCCTTCTGTACTTTTCCAAGATAGACCAGTGCTTCCTTCTGTAAGGCCACAGCGTCTTTCTTACTCTTTGCCTGCACTGTAAATCAAATGCATCCCAGTTCTTGCAAGCTCTAGACACTGTCGAATCATTTGTGTTTTTAAATTATTGAAATTTTTACTTTGGAAACCAGTGGTTCTCATCCATTACTGCATCCTAGAATCACCTAGGAAATGAAATTTTTAAAAATATGTAAGTGTGCACCAAAATTTTACACATACTCAGACACACACACATATTCTCCAGACCCTACTAGGAAATATTCTGACTTAATTAGACCAGGGGCTTGGAAGCCCTAAGGAACATTCAAGACATTAAAGTTTGCCAGATAATTTTAATATGGTTGGAACCCATTGTTCCAAACCTAAGTAACTTATTAAAAAGTTATTAAAAGTGATGTGAAAACTCAGGATTGCGTAGTGTGAGCTGGAAGTGCTGCTCCCTAGTGGGGGGCCTGTTCATGGCCTGTGAGGGAAAGGCCAGCCCCCCACAACTAATTGTGGGTTCGATAAGCGCAATTGTACGGTTATTTTATGTACATATGTATATATATATACACACATATATAATAAAGTCATAGAGAGCATGAGAGATGGAAGTGAGATTGAAATAATGGAGTCAGACACATTTCAGACACCTCAGCCCCACTTGGTGGTCCACGTGGAGATGGGAGACCAAAGGGCAGGAGAGAGGGGGAGGGGAAGGAGGACAAGGGGAAAGGGAACAGGGGAGCAAGGGATCAGGAACCAAGGGAGAATGCCAGGGTGAGAGGGAGGCAAGGGAGAGAGGGGATGGGAAGAGCCTCTTTATTGCTAACCAAGGCTTATATATCTTTGGGGGGCATGCAAGCCCACTAATTATAGGTAAAGGCATATGTCACAGGAAGGGGTTGTAATACAGTAATGAGAGGGGGACAACCTAGGGGTACACACGCTATAGGAAGAGGAGGGATTAAGGGTAAGTATACATGTGACAAGATAGGCGGATCCTAGACACAGGATGGCAGCCTACCTTTGGATGTCACTGACCAGGTTTGACCTGTTCTTTGGCTCTCCATGGAAACCATTATCAGTAGGGTGTGAACCCCACCTACTGTGGACCAGACTGATGGCTGCAAGCCTTCAGACAGAAGTAATCTATTGTCCTTAACAGCAGGGAGTGGGCCCCACCTGTGGTGGGACCAGATAGTAGTCTGGCAACTGACTGCCTTCAGGGAGGATGTCTCTAAGCATCTGATCTCCCACCATATGCTGGCAAATAGCCTCTAATGTTTGGCAAGTCTTTGGGGTAGACAAAACTGGGGAAAGTCTCTTTACAATCCCACAGTGTCCGTTCTAGGGTCTCCAACATTGTTCCCAGCTTGGATAGTGAACCGGCCCAAGGCGGAGGTGGCTGAGCTTGGCGTCCTTGCTGGTGTGAACAGACTGCGTCCAAACTAGTGGCGGGTGGAGCAGATGGGGCTGGGCAAATGCTTTGGCCATCCAGCTAACCCAGAACCGCTTTGTACCGAGTGTGGTCCCACCGTCAAGGATTCACACCGAAAGCAGGTTACAGATGGTGAGGCCTGCCTGTTGAACAGGAGCACTGTGCGGCAAGAGACCGGCGTGTGAGCCTCTGTGTGTCTGCCATCCAGCCCAGCACATCGTTGGCAGACAGTAGCCTCTACGGGGAGCAGATCAAACGAGTGAACATCTCAGCTGTTGGCCGCATGTGTGGTTTCCCAACAGAGACAGTTGACCCCAAACGAGCGCATGCACTGGCCCAAAGCGATGGGATTCCGTCCACTGACACCGGGGCTGAAGAGGCCCTTGACCCAGGAGGAAGAGGAGCTCATCAGAACTGAGTGAAAAACACTATAGCCGTGATGCTGGGGCTCACGGTGGCACGGGGGTGCCCCGTGGGGTGATGCAACAAGAGACTTATCAGAAATGAGCCGCTTTCAAGCTGCACTGACACCTGGTCCGGACTTCCTTGGGGCAGCATCCCTATTGGCATCTTCAGTGTGACCAAGAAGTGCCTGGACCTCCCACCTCTCAGTTCATCAGTGAGAAGTTCTCTGTTGGAGAAGTTCTCAGAATAACTGCCTCCTCACATGGCTGTCTGACCAGAGAAATGCCGGTGCTGGCCCTCCCTGGGTTTTTCCCCTGGCACACATACAGCTCTGTCCACCCCCCACCCCCCAGGTTTTTCATCTGAAAATCAATGCATGCTCTGAAACAGAGAGTAGACATGTGATTCCGTTGCACTGTCTTGACCTCTAACATAAGCGACTGCTGGGGGTTTGCCTGGTTGTGTTGTGTCTTTCCTTTTCCTGTTGAACTTGGGACGATGTTGGTTGGGGCAGAAATGGCATAGCTTGCTCTTGCGGAGCATACAGTTACTGTCGCTGTGTGGTTTGCAATGTCAAAAAAGAAAGCTCCGTGAAGCCTCAGAAGGAAAGAGGCCGTTATATGGATCACGTTGGCCTGGCTGTCTCTGCTGCCCGGGAGCCTGGATCTTCTTCCAGATCCATCCTGTATTTGTCCCCGCAGGAGAACACTAAGTTCCATGAGATTCCCAGAACCTCCTGCCCTTTCCTGTTCCTGCAGAGGACTCCGAGCCCGCGGGTTTCTGACCTGAAATGATGGCTAGTTGATGCTGCCCAGAGGAGCTAGTGTCCATCAGGGGGACATTGGACATGGCTTTATTCCTTCATAGATCTTTGGACACATTGAAAAAATACCTGATTATTTTGATAACTGGACTCTCCTCATTCACAGTTGCAATGTTAGGAGCAACTTGAAATGCCGATGGATTTCTAGTTCTAACGTGGCCATAAGGAGCCCTGGAAGTGCTGTGAGCTAGGCATTGGACTGCTAACCACAAGAATGGTGGTTCAAACCCACCAGCTGGTCTGTGGGAGAAAGACGAGACTGTCCCCTGTAAGGATTGATAGTCTTGGAAGCCCTAGGAAGGGTCACTGATGTGCTGCCATTGGCTCGGTGGGAGTGACTTTGTATAGGTTGGCCTGACATAGGAGTCCTGGTGGTGCAGTGGTTACATGTGCAGTTACTAACTAAAACGTGAGGGGTTCGAACCTTCCAGCAGCTCCAGGGTAGAAAGATGTGGCAGGCTGCTTCTCTAAAGATGTGCCCCCTTGGAAGGCCTCTGGGAGCAGACGGACTCTACCCAATAGTATTGCCATGCGTTGGAACCTACTGGCTGGCAAGGGGGCTGATTTCGGAACCTGGCTAGATGTCTTTTGAATTATAAAGAGTTCTGGAAAAGGAAGTACTGTGTCTCTCTATGTATCTATGTCCCTAGCATTTCATTGTCTCCCTCACCCCCTTTCTACAAAACCAAACTGAAACCAACTGCTCCCCCATCGAGTCAGTGCTGACTCACCGTGACCCTCTAGCAGGGTGGAAGGACCTCTGTGAGTTTCCATGGCTTCCTTACAGGAGCAGACCGCCTCCTCTATCCCCCACAGGGTGGCTGCTGGCTTTGAACTGCTGGATTGTGGGTAGGAGCCCACTTTGGAACCCAGTACACCACCAGTGCTAGCTGAAATGTCTGCATTGACTCTGTGCCCTGCATTCCCTTCCAGGAAGGAGTTCTTGAGGCAGAAACAGGCCGCTGTGACAGTCCAGGCCAACTGGAGAGGCTTCTTAACTCGGCGAAATTTCAAGCTGGTGAGAAAACAATTTAGAAAGGCTGGGCCCGGGAACAGGGCCTCACACTGCCTGCCTAATAAAAAGTTAATTAAAAATGTCTATTTACATGTGAGGTCACAGGTAGGAGGGATTAATCACTAACAGAGTTCAAAATAATTAGACCTCAGTGTCCCACACACTCACAAATATGCATGCTCTCCCTCTTCTCTTTCTTTGAGAAATTGCTTCTAATGCCAAAATTAATGTCTAGATCGCCAAATCTCAAAGCAAGTGTGGCGTGGAGAGAGGATCAGAATCATTCTTAAGGGGCTTTCCAAACCATATGGGCCACTCCTGCCCCTAACTGAGAAATTTTAGCTTTCGGGGGCAACTCCCTTGACAAATAATCACTGTTGTAGTGACTTTTCTCACTTAGTGGTTCCCACATCTGAGCATGCAACATATTAATATAGTTTTTCTAATTGTGGTCAAATATATTTAATAAAACATTTGTCATTTCAACTACTTTAACACGTCCAGTTGTTCAGCGCTACGATGTTCACGCTGTGCACCAGCTCTGCCATCTGTCCTGCGTGTTTTCATTGTCTTCAGTGGGAACTCAGTGACCCTCAAACCATCCCCACCACACCTTCTTGTTAACACCGTCTCAGGTTGTAGGTTCGTGGGCTGTAAACAGCTCTCCTGAAAAAATCTGGACAGCTCCAGAATGGAGTTGAGGTGCTTGACTCTGATATTGGTTCCTGGCTCTTCCCAATTTGAAGCCAACAAGTACATTAATGAATGGATCATTCTCTGTTTCAATCACCCACCCACCCCCCTTCTCTCATTCACTGGCTTTCTTAACCACAGGCTAATTGGTGTCTGCTACACAAATGAACCAAGGAGCCTTGTATGTAGACATGACAAGCTTGCCTTGTCATGAGCCAGGCTGTGGTTGTAACATATGATGGTAATGCCAGCAAAGCTGCTCCCGGCGGCATTCCAGAGGCAGCCCGTCAGTGTTCTGTGTTTCTGAAGGCATCTTGGTAGCAGACATACGTAGACCGGTATCTCGGAGCCTGTTACTTTTCATGCACCGTTTTATTTAAGGAAGGCATTATAGTTAAGGAAAACTGAGACATAGAGAAGCTGAGTCATTTTCCAAATGTGTACTGTTAGTAAGCAGTCAAACGAGGAGTTGAATTCTTGTCTGATGACTTCAGGGCCTGTCTGGTAAGGCGTTACACTGCCCTTCCAATGGATTTTGATTTAGTGGTCAGTCACCTAGTCCTTATTGGGCTGGTCCTTAAGAGGTCAACAAGAGCTCAGCACAGGGTTTCAATGACAGGCCACTGGGGCCCAGGGAATGTTTGCAGCACAGAAGTGGATATTCCTTCACGTATTATTTCTTTTATTTGTAATACCCCCTATACCAAAAAATTAGCTCAGTATGGCCAGCCCTAGATTTCTACACAGATGTGCTAGCTCCCAACCAGTTTCCTGGAACTGGCTTCCAGGTGGGAGAAGGGAAGCCTCCTATGCAAATATCTAAATCAATTCTCTATTAGCAGCCGCTAGGGAGACATCATTCTTTTTGTTATTAAACACATGCTGGCTTAGCACTTAGTTGAGTGCCAGACACGATTCTAAGTACTTTGCAGGTCATAATGGAGTGAATGTGCCATGCTGCATTGTGTGAAATGCCACATCAGTCTTCTGCAGGCAGCTCTGAAGCTAGCCTATCTCCTCAGGATGACTGCTTACTCCCTGTTTCTTCTAAGAAAGCCCAGTGCTCTGCATTCAGCTAGGACCCAGTGGTTCTCAACCTTCCTAATGCCGCGACCCTTTAATACAGTTCCTCATGTGATGGTGACCCCCCCAACCATCGGAAATATGTGTTTTCTAATGGTCTTAGGCGACCCCTGTGAAAGAGTCATTCGAGCCCCAAAGGGGTCGCGACCCACAGGTGGAGAACTGCTCAGCTATGCCCAAGCCTCCCCTGAGTATACCTTCTCTCTCCTTGCAGATCCTCCTAGGCTTTGAGCGCCTGCAGGCAATTGTCCGGAGCAGCCTGCTGGCAAAGCAGTACCAAGTGATGCAGGAGAGGATGGTCCGCCTGCAGGCCTTGTGTCGGGGCTACCTGATCCGTCGTGCGGTCCAGGACAAGAAGAGGGCATTGGTGGTCATCCAGGCGCATGCCCGAGGCATGGCTGCTCGGCGTAACTTCCAGAGGAAGAAAGCAAGTGTAGGTTGTCCCTGCATCTTGGGTGGGCTTTGGGATGGGGTAGAACTGGAGGGGGCTGGGGAGGGGCCAGACGGGGGTAGACTAGGACTAACATGGGGAAGGTGGAGAGAGTGAGGGGGCAAGATAGAGAAATCCCTTTGGAAGTCACCATTCTCAAGCCAACTGAAAACTCTGTTCTACACGAACCCAGCATTGACATTGGAGGCAAACTACAACACTGCCGAGGGACTAACATTTAGATGTTGCGAGGAGGGGTCCCCTGTGAACGTGGCAGCCCATCCTGTCTTCCGGGAACCCTTGGTCAACCTCCCCAGCGGGTGAGACACAGCCGGGGAAGAAATCACACCCTCAGGGACTTTTTTAAGGCAAGAGAAGTGGGGAGGGCTTTCGGGAAATTGCGCTTCTCAATTCTTTAGCCAATGTTTAGGGGTGGTTTCCCTGAAGGTCTGGTCCACCCTCAAGGCGCCACAGGAAACCGGAGCCAGGTGAGCGCAGAGAGAGGCTGGTTCATGGAAGAGTGCCAGGGACCAGGTTCCTGGTGTTTGACAAGGCTTGCAGACAGAAACACCAGGGGTGGCTGTGGGGTTCCTGGAAAGAGCAGAGTAAGGGAGGGCACCAAGACATACGTTCCCACATTTTTCATTTCCCCGCAGGACACCGTCCTCAACTCAACCTTCTTCCCTCCAACCTCGTCCACTGGGGGCGGGGGTGGGGCGAGGTTAGGATGAAGGCATGGGGGCAGGGAAATGGATAAGGAAGAGTGTAGACTCCCAGATTCTCCACGTGCTTTTGCACACGAGCCTCACCTGTGCACGAGTTACCAAAGGCCCAGCGCCCTCCCCTGCCGGGGCTGCAATGGCCCGTGAATGGCAGCTGGAGTCTCTGGCCGTGGGATGGGAGGCGGCCTGCAGGCCTTTCCCTGTTCTAGGCCTCCAATTCTCTGGTGGGAGTGTAAAGCCCAGTGACTTCGAACTATTAAGATCCATCCTTTTAGAACAGCATCTATCTATCTGTACCAGTGGTGGCAGGACAAGATGGGTCTTGCTTCCGTGAGGTGCTTAGCCTGCCCAGCCGGCGTGACGTCAGGCTTGTTTCCCTGAGCACAGCTGGGCCGGCGGTAACCTTCCTCTGTCAATCCACACAGGAACATCTGTTCGTCCCCATTGCCCAGCAGCAGGACTCAAGTGTTCTTCCTACCAAGAAGCGTGAGTCCATCTACGACCCCCTCACTGATACTGAGATGGTGGAGAAAGTGTTTGGCTTCCTCCCTTTGATAATTGGGGGTCAAGAAGACCAGACCTCACCAAGCTTTGAGGTAAGACACTCCCTTGTCCTTTGAAGGGTCAGCCCCAGGTGAGGGTAGGAAGATCTCTCCTAGTCCCTGGCCTCCCTCAGGGGCAGTTAAATCAGGTGGTTGAACTGCTACAGGTCTCAGGGGTTATGCAGAGAAAGGTAAGGGGCCCAGGAAGGAGCCCACACACACAAAGCGGGTCCTTTAATAGCAACATTCCCTAGAGGTTTGACAAGGTGCACACTCTTGGGCTTCGGAGTGCTGCAGCACCCCAAGTATCTGACCCCTCGTCTTTCAGAACATGGGGAGGCGGGCTCTGCAGGGATGCTGTGCAAAGGAGGAGGGAGCAGGAACCGAACAGAATCCCCAGGGACACCCAATGCTCTGGGCCAGCCTTCTGGGGCTCAGGGCCCAAGGGGCTCAGGGCTCTGCATGACACAGTAGCTAGGTGTGGACGTAAGCCTGGCTGGGTTGGGCTCCTGCTGGGCCCTGACTGTGCAGAAAGAAGGGAAGGACGATGAAGACAGAGGGCTGGCAGGAGAGAAGTCTAACCAGAGACGGACTGCAGGGCAAAGTGCACTAAGGGGGCCACCAGCCGGCCTGGACATTCATGAGGAGGCCCATCCCACAGAAGCTCTTGGGGTCCCGCTGAATGTGGCAGGTTGGGGTGGGTGTCAGACCGATGGGAGGGGGCAGAGGTCTGTATACCCATGTATAACCAGACGGACCCATCGCAGCCTTTCTGCCATCCCGAGTGTGTACCCCGTCAATAGCTAGCTCGCTGTTATCTGAAGGACATGCTGGTCCATAACTCTGTCTCCCCCTTGGCCCCCAGGATCTGGAAACAGAGACCGAGCAGCTACCCGAGGTGGACCTGGACACAGTCCCGATGGCCGAGGAGCTCGATACAGAGGTGGACAGTGTCGATGGACAGTACACCTTCCCCAAATTCGCTGCCATCTACTTTCAGAAATCGGCCAGCCACACCTACCTCCGGCGGCCCCTGCAGCACCCTCTGCTCTACCATGAGGATGACACGGACTGCTTGGTATCCGAGCTGACCTTGGGCTGGCCTTGGGAGGGAAGAGGGAAGAGGGAAGAGCCGGAGTGTACTGGGCAAGGGGGTGGTCTGCACTGGGGATTCCAGTGGGGTCCCTCTGCCCATTTCCTCAGGTTTCACTGACCATCTGGACCATCATCCTGAGATTCATGGGGGACCTCCCGGAGCCGGTGATCCTTCCTGGGACCAACCCGCCCGACAGCACAGTGGTACGGCCAATCCACAACACCCTGGACAGCAAGGGCAGCGCCCAGTCTCCCCAGCCTGGCAAATCTGCACGGGCCCAGTGGTGCCAAGCAGGCAGGCAGAGGAGGGTGGTTCTCGGGCTGCTCAGGCTTGAACCACACTTGAAATTCCTGAGTCGAGGGCTGCACCCAGGACCTTTGTCCATACGGTGAATGAAGGGCATCCCATGGCTCTCAGATTAGGCTGGATTTGAACCAGATTCGGATACATATAATAACAACACAATAGGTACTGTTGCGAATGGAACATCTGTAGAACCATGGTTTCTCTGTGCGTTTAATTCCTAGGCAAACCACCCTAGAAGTTAGGAACGATGCTGCTTTTTTGATGGCTGAATAGACAGAGGCTCAGTCGGGTGAAGTGATATGCCCTGAAATCACAATGACAGCTGGTATTTTGATTCATCCTGCTGAATTCAAAGGCCCATCTTTTGACCCGTGTACACACGACCCTGCTCTCAGCCATAAGCTAAATTCATACCCATTTTCATTTTAGTCCAACATTCTTCCGAAGGCCCCAGTTTCCTGATGTAGTCTTAGTGGGAAAAGTTGAAAGGACTTACATGGCCGTGACTGCCCTCAGAGGCTACCTGCAGCTCATGACCACTTTTCATACAGCAGGTGCTCTTTCGGGGATGCCTTCTGGGGTTTGGTGAACAGACTAACAGCATAGAAATTTACAACAGTCTGCAGACTGGGATCAGATGATGGCCACACGTGGCCTAGGCATTACGTGGCAGTTTCCTAGGCCCAAGCCCTGACTCTCTGTCAACTGACAGTGTGGACACTACCAGAATATATTCATTATCGATGGCTTTGAAAGAAATCACCCCAAACTAGATGTTTAGAAGCACAAACTCTCATCCCCTCACATACTTCCTGAGAGTCAGAGATTGAGAATGATTAGCTGTGTGGCTCTGGCTCACGGTCTCTAAGGAGGTTGCCTTCCGGCTAGAGTTCATCTGAGACGGGACAGACTGAAGCCATTACTTCCACGATGGCGCACTCACAGGACCTTTGGCTGGAGATCATGATTCCTTGCTTTGTGGAACTCCCCACAGGACTGCCCAACTCCCCTGAAAGCAAATGACCCAAGAGACCAAGCAAGGAGGGAGATGCAAGCCTCTCTTGGGAGTCACCGCCCATCATCCTATCCTATTCTGTTAGTCGCATAGACCAAACTTGATACAGAGTGGGCGGAGACTACACAAAGGTATGGGACATGGGTTCCCCTTGAAGATTGGCTGCTACCTTGCCCCTTCTGCAGGCTGAGGCTAGGGGGAACAGCCTTCGGGGTGTGCTTCCTGGACCTGTATATGAGTGTGCACTGTGTTGCCCCTCACTGCCACCTCGGGAGCTGGCCAGCTAAGCTCAGTCCCTGTGCCACCACTGGTTTGTTGTGTGTCCTTGAATCCATTCTGACTTAGGCCAGAGTAGAACTGCCCTGTAGAGTTTCCCAGGCTGTAATTTATTTTAAATTGTTTTGTTGGCATATACTTTACACATCACACAATTTAACCATTCAATCAAAGGATGAAGATTTGTGCGATCATCACCACAATCAATTTCAGAGCATTTCCTTCTTGTACTCACTGCTGTTAGCTCCCCATTTCCCCCTATCCTCCCCTCCCATCCCCCTAGGCCAGTGGTTCTCAACCTTCCTAATGCCCCCACCCTTTAATACAGTTCCT